ACGTATTGCTGGGAAAGGCTGCCAGGCGCTCAGCCACGTTGGGGATACAGGAAGGGCATAACCCTTCCTCCTTGCACGTTGCCCTGCTCTGCCACACGTGGCACTGACTTGGCGTGACCTGTAACTCCCAGCTCCCGCAGCACTGGATGTGCAGCACAGCCCGCTCCAGGCACGGAGGTTAGCAGTGGGAATAACAGGAAGCATCAAGGAGCCAGTCCTGCCATCCAGGCCAAGCCCATCACTGCTCTTGCCTGGAATAGGAGACACAGAGCTCTCCCACTTTTGATATGGAAAGAATTAAGGGCATTTCTTCAGGAAGTGGGGCTTTGTTTCAGGGATTGTAATCAGAAAAAAAAAAAAAGAACGACCAGGAAACAATAAGCACATTCTTAACTAACCAGTCCTACTTTGAGAAGGCAGCTCTGAGCACACTTCTGAGCAGATTGAGCGATCGAGGCCAGTTCACGGGGTGCCCCCCAGCCCCCCCTCCACGTTCCCCTCTGTGAGGGGTGACCTGCCCGCGCGGCCGCCCTACCTTCCTCTTGGTGTTGCAGAAGATGACGGCCTGGGTGATGGTAAGCGTGTCGTAGAGATCACACAAGGTGTCGAACTTCCACTCCTCCCGCTCCACCGCCACGAAGAACTGCTTGATTCCCTCCAGGGTCAGCTCATCACTGCAGGAAGAGGCACGAGTCACAGAGTGCGACGGAATCAGCACCCGGGTGTCTCAGCAGCGCTCACGGCAGTGTGCTGAGCACTGTGTGTGTGGCTGCGTCTGCGCACGAGGCCATGTGGTTCTATGGAGCCCCCCGAGGGGCCTCCTCTAAGGAGGGCTCAGACGTGATGGGACGGAGCTGAACTCGGGCACCCTCTCTCATCTGGACACTCCTCCCACTCAAAATACTCGACAAGGAAGACTGCAGACAACTGAGCAATGTAAGAGACAGCATCGCGTCAAGCCCCGTCAGCTACATGTTCCTTAGGCTTGCTCTATGAATCAAATTTATCAGGCCTTCAAAAATCCTCTGGAGGTGGAGGGAAGTTGGGATAGGTGTGATGGATAGAATTCCAGAAGAGACTGCTAAACATGGGGAAAACAGGGAGAGGGCAGGCTGAGCAACACTGAACAGAACTCAGAAGGACAAACTAAGAGGCAAACCAGCCTCTGCTGGAAAACAAGTCGTGGAGGATGTAGGCACCTAGTGCAGCTGCAGTGCTGAGAGGCAACAAAGGAGGAGACTCTGCACATTTAGCTCCACAAATGTTGTGAACTGGCCCAAAGCTGGACCAACCTGACAAGCTCCTGCGCTTTGCAAGGGACCTCGCTCACCGTTTCACCAGGATGCGGATGGGGTCTGTCATGAATTTGTTGGTCATCTCTAGAATTTCGTGTGGCAACGTGGCGCTGATCAGAACCACCTGCGTGGCTGGAGGCAAGTATCTGTACACATCATAGATCTGCTCCTTAAACCCTGCAAATGCAAATCAAGGAGCACAGAAACGTCAGTGCATCTTTCTCCTGCATATCCAGTTCTCCCACGTTTTGCTCTGGAATTCTGCAGCGGTCCTTTCACAGCACAGAGCCAACAAGCAGTGAATCGGGAGCGGGCAGCCAGCGTTGCCCATTGCTCCTCTCTCCCCAACCCCACTGGGACTCGGCTGTTTCATGCAGTGCAGTGAAGGGAGGTGCTGCTCAACAAAGAACAGTCCAACTAAATCACATCAGACACTTTAACTAGCTTAAATGTTACAGTCTGCAGCATAGCTATGACCATACAACTATGGCACGGAACGGAGTGAGGCTGCAGGAGCAGGACCTACCAGCTGCGACACATGAGAATCCCCAAAAGATGATGCAAAGTGCTAGGGAGAGAGATTTTTTTACCTTTATTAAGCATTTCATCTGCTTCATCCAAAACCAGCATTTTGATGGCTCTGGTCCTTAAGCTTCGGCGACGAATCATATCTGTTAAGATTTCACCACGTGAATCAAAAGGCTCTGAGCACGTGAGCCTGCGCGGCTCCCACGGGCACAGTGACAGGTTCCCAGCAGGGAAGAGTCGCCTCCTTCTCAGGGAGACAGGAGATGTGGGCTCGGAGGCTAGTGCTGTGCCATGGGGTACTTCCCATTAACACAAACCATAAATATTCTCACATAGGGAAAACAGACTGCTTAAACCTCGTTTGAATAAAGACAGTGGTTGCCAGTATATACAAAATACAGACCTAACTGAGGACAGCCAAACAGACCCTGTTCTTATATCCTCTGCAACTCTGAAATACTTTTTTGGGGGGTTTTATATTTTCTGCTCTAAAATATTCTCTCCCATGCGGTCCTGTAAATACCCCTTTGAAACTATAAACTGAGAAAATCCAAACACTAACCCGAGTGATTCCTCTCTAATCTCTCTGCAGAGACGACCAAGGTAAGTGGATACCTTGTTATACTTGAGCATATCCCTTGTGTCTAGATAAATGTAGTTTTCATGGCAGTTAAATTCCTGGGATCTGAAATATCTTGCACACCAAGAGCACAGAATCTGCAGGAGGTTCCTTGGGCCCGAGCCCACGCGTCCTTACCAAACACCCGGCCCGGTGTGCCCGCCACGACGTGCTGCCCGTAGTCCAGCTTCCGGATGTCCTCCCCCACGTTGGTCCCTCCGATGCAGGCGTGACACTGCACATTCATGTAGTCTCCCAGAGCAAGGAGACCCTGTGGGGACACAGCAGAATGGCTTAGTTATCTGACATCTCGTGAGCAGAAGAGGGATCTTTTATGTATGTTACCCAAATGTCCCCAGAGTTTCCAACACTGGGAGCTCAGAAAGGAAAAGCCTCCCTCTAGTGGAAGCTGCACTCCTAGCCTAGGGTGGCTCCTATGGATCTCTCCTAGCTCTGCAGAGGCAGCCAGAAGTGACCCCAGGCCTCACCAGGGCTTTACAAAGCAGAAATCCAGGTCGCTTTTAAAGGCTCCTACCTTCTGAATCTGCACAGCCAACTCCCGAGTCGGAGCCAAGATCAGCGCCTGGGTCTCGCGAACCTGATTAAAACACATAATTATTATTATTATCCACATGGCTGTGGCTGACCAAGCTCAGCAGAGACTGCAGATCCCACTGCACTCCCAGGTATCACACTTGAGGGTTAATTGCAGAGTTCTGCACTAAAACCCACTGCTTGCAAAGGTCAGGTCACCTAGGAAGCTGTTCCCACACTAGACATTTCCACAGCAGTGGTCTCTGGTGTAAGTCACTTTTGACAAGCAGCCCCTAATGCAATTCTTTATCAGCTTATTTTCATTCTAACCTCATTTCTGAGAACATACACAAAAAATTGTGTGTTCTTTCCCACAAAACAATAGAAAGGCAGTTTCAAATGACTTCAGTGACAAGTTTCACATTTTCAAGCCAGACAAAAGTTTGGCATTGTTCAGGGATTCCAAGACAACGTTTTAAAGCATTGTGCTTACAAGATACTCTGAGTGCTTTACAGAAATAAGGTAAGAAGCTGACCTTTCCGCCCAGAACATGGAGTTTATATTGCATGTCCCCAGGCAACGCCAGATAAATGACAATCAAAGCTTAATTTAAGGAACTACCAGCCCACAGAAAATCATGTTTAAGTTCACGAGCATCTATACATTCAATTTATACTTCAAAAGCATTCAGGCAAACAAAGCATCCCTGATTAGAACACAAATGACCATTTGTGAGCCAAAAATCTAGACCTGATCCAAGGAACACGTGCCATTCGGTCATGGACAGGTAAATGATGTTAGAATTGTTTGAGGACAACTCTCTGTTAGAAGATTAACTTAGCCCTCTAATGCTGTCACTAGAAGCATCTGAAAGAGGTTGCTGTTAAAAGGTAGCTCCACAATTTTAAGGTTTTACCTGAATGGTTTATTCTGTCAAGGTGGGCATAACAGTTAAATCCTTACAAAACCAGAGCCTGATGAAAATTTCAGTCAGAATTTTGGCCCTGAAAGTCACTGCCCATAATTAACATGCTGTGAAATCACCTGTATATCCAGGCACTGCAGGACAGAGATGGAGAATGTTGCTGTCTTCCCTGTTCCAGACTGTGATCTGAAAAAGAGATGTTTGGTAAATATATACAGGCTTTTTTCCAAACAACCAATACAGGCAATTGCAATGTATTATCTTTCAACTCTCTACCCAAAAGTATATTTTGCTTCTGCCACTACTGCTTGCAATATATTCCCTTATATTCCATTCCACTCCATTAATATAAACTTTACTAGTGAGAGAAACAGCTTTAGAAAATGTCATCTCAGTAGAGAACACTCTGTCACAGGGTCCCCCACACTCACCAGCAGCAGCATTTCAACTTTCTGCTATTTGCCTTAGAAGACCTTTGTTATTTTTTTAAAGGTGAAATTGCAGATATGCTAACACAATTCACAGAGCCATGAATTTCCACCAGTGACCTAGAAAGGATATTTTTTTCCCTTGTCTGCATACCCTTTGTCTCTAGGGACAAAGACTTGCTTCCTTTCCCTTGACAGAGAGTTAGGGTGCCTCTGACATTCTCTAGTTTTGCTGAAAAACATTCCCAGGATGCCCTTGATTTCAAAAGCAGAGCATCTTGGCTGAACATTTTCACAGTGACACACCTAAAACGTCACCCTCTTGGCTTGTTAGGCGTGAACAACACCGTCAGGAACAGTGTGCACACACAAACATCCTTCACCAGTCACAGTGTGACTGTTTGCAGCAGCAGCGATGGCTCTGAAACCCTCCTGACATCCCCAGCCCGGAGCAGAGCCCGGAGCCAGCAGCTCCCAAGCAAGGGCAGCAACTGTACAGCATTCAAAACTTACTGTTTTTAGTATTTTTCCATTTTTTGTTGTTTTTTAAGGGGAAGAAAAAGAAAAAAAACCCTCACTCGACATCGAACCTTTCCGGGCTCGCGCCACTTACTGTGCGATCACGTCCCGCCCTTTGATGATCTGCTTGATGGCCCGTTGCTGGATGGCCGACGGCTTCTCGAAACCTGCGGGCGAGACGGCACCGGCGTCGGAACCGAGACCGGAACCGGGGGGCGGCGAGGGGCGCCCAGGCCACGCCCCCACCTCCAAGCTCCGCCCCCGGAAGGCCGGTGGCGCCGCCACGCAG